TGCACTTATTATGATTAAAACCCATCTGCCATTTATTTGCCCAACTCATTAAATGATCTAAATCCTTTTGTTAATCACAGCTAGCAACACTCAAGACCTTAATATCATCTGCAAATTTAAGTAATTTATTGACCATTCCTTCATCTGTACCATTGATGTAAATCAAAAGGAGCAAAGGTCCTAACACTGAGCCCTGAGGTACCCCACTTGAGACATTAATCCAGTTTGACTGAACTCCATTTGTAACAACCCTCTGCTTTCTTCCATTCAGCCACTCTTCTATCCAATTTGCTAACCTATCCCCCACACCTAAAGAGACAATTTTTTTTACAATCCTTTTATGTGGCGCCTTGTCAAATGCTTTCTGAAAATCCAGATACACCAAATCTACATCCTTACCCTCTTCTACATAAGCAGTAGCCTTTTCAAAGAATGTCAAAAGATTTGTAAGGCAAGATTTTCCCTTAATGAAACCATGTTGACTATCCAATAAAATTTTAAACTTTGCTAAATGACTTTGCAAAGCATCTTTTAACAGACTTTCCAAAATTTTTCCCACAACTGATGCAAGACTAATGGGTCTATAATTACTTGGACAATTTTTATCACCTCCCTTGAAAAGAGGAGTTACATTAGCTAACTTCCAATCCACTTGTACTTGCCCACTATTCAAGAACAGACAAAAAATAGTAGTAAGTGGCTCACATATCTAATCTTTAACCTCCTTCAAAACCCTTGGGGAAATATTTTCTGGCCCAAGAGCCTTATCATTTTTAAAATATCCAATTTTTTCTTAACCAGCTCAAAATTAATGCAGTCATCTTGTTTGATCTTGTTTCCATCTTTAAACTGTTCAAGATGTGGAATACTGCTTAAATCTTTGGTAGGAAAAACAGAAGAAAAATTAAAATATAATAACCCTGCCATCTCATCAAATATTAGCCTTCCTTTATCATCCCTTAAGGGCCCTACTCCCATCCTAACATTTTGTTTACCATTAATGTATTTAAAGAAATTCTTACTATTAATTTTTATATTTTCAGCCAACCTTTTTTTTTCATACATCCTTTTTCATGTCCTAATTTCCTGTTTCACTAACTTTCTTGATATTCTCTAATCTTCTAAATCTCCTGTCATACCAGTCAATTTAAATTTCTTAAATGTATGATGTTTTTCTTTAATTTTATCTAACATACTCTTTGTTAGCTAACCTGATTTTTTACTTGCAGCTACCCTTTTCTTTCTATAAGTTGTGCTCCGCATTTTATGGTTGTGGGTGATGTAAAACAGTGATAGTTCAATTCCACTATTTGGTTAGAATAGCTTAAGAGTTGATGGTGGATGGTTTTGGCTAGTTGCTTTGCTTTCCCTTTAATCTATCACTTGGGATGGCTAGTGCAGAGTAGCTTTGGGTAAAATTCATTAACATCAAGAAACATCAAATTGTCCTTCAAGAGAGAAACAAGATTTCATTTAATGTTACACACTTGTTATTGAAGAAGAGTTGAAAATAAATATAAATACCAAATTTTACCTGTAGCGAAACAAACCATCCAACTTTTTTTTTTGAAATGGTTGAAATGACTGATGACCAGTAGTTTATTAAACCATATAAAACTTTCTTTAATTATCAGAGGAGTTGAATTATTAAGTATATTATCAGTAATAATATATTTTTGAACATAACAATCAATGTTCATTTTGTTTTATAGTACATTTGTAAGTTAAAGTTTTTATAATTACTCCAGGAGCTATACAGTTCAAGAAATGGAAACCATTATCTCTTGATCAAATCACTGATAAGCCTGAAGCTACAGTTGGGGATATTTTGGGAGATATTGCAGGAATAGCCACTTTGAGGATTCTACTGTTTAGGTAGGTCATTTTGTTTTATAACAATTTCATTTTCCTGTTTAGTTTTAGGTGAGAGTACCTAAAACTGAATCTTATAAAGGCATTTAATCACATTTATGAACTTGCATAGCCTAAACAAATATTCTACAACTCGCATAAATGGCATTTTTTTGCATGTTCATGTAGTCATAATGTGGTAGTGCTGGGAAACTTACATTCACTAACATTAACTGAAAAGCCTGTGATAATGCAGTGCAGTTGAGTTTCTTGTATGATTTGTGCACTCTGCTCGAGTAAGAACTATTTTCCTACAAATGTATGTCATAAAGAATATTAAAAAATTATACTGAGACATAAACATCTTTGTTTCTTTTGAAATCTGTGTATTCATAGAGATTAGTTTGTGGAAAACCTCAGCCATTATATCTCATAGAGCTCAAATCTTACATAATTTGCAAAAGACAAAACAACAACTGCTAGACATGCGTAATAAAAAAAGATGTGATAATTTGAGCATATAATTAGATGTGAGGGAAATTTGGCAGAGTTTTTAATGAACAAAATCAAAGGGAAAAAAGCAAAAGGCAGGAAGAGACTCACTTGGCTTGATGATATTAGAAAATGGATTGGAAATGAGAAGCTTGAATTAAGAAAATTGGTCCATGCTGCAAGGAACAGAGAACAATGAAGAACCATGGTTGTCAACTCCCAGGGAGGATGCCATGATTGATTGAAATTTTACATTTTGTGTTCTATGGCAGCTATGCATTTATATTGAGTAAATAATTATATCAAAAAAACATCAAAAACTATGAATTTCCATGTTCATCACTGCACATGTTTTTTGATTGAGGAAAGATTATTTTTGAACCAAATGATGTTTTGCATATTTTCTATTGAAAAAGTAAGTGGTTTCGTATAAACCTCTAGCTTGAGGTGTCATTAAGAAGAACGAATTTGTATTCACTCTTTAATAAGAAGTTAAATAGTGTTACTGTTTAAATATACACAGCTTTATGATAGTGATAATGAGTTGTGCATGAATTATCACCACTGAGATACACTCTGAGATTTTCACTTCTTACATTGAATACATTTTCATGACAAAGATGAGTGTTTAGTTAACAGATTTATTAATTTTTGTTAATACTAATATTTTAACATTAAAAACCTTATAGATCAAAATAATCAGTGGTAAAAATTTAAACATTTTTTTACAAATATACAATAACATCTATGAGGAGAGCTGCTAAAATTTTGCAATAATAATTACAATTAATAATGAATAGTTTTAATTACAAATAACAGGCAAACTACAAAAAGCTTCTATAACCACTCTGCCCTAGGTCATTAGTTGGGTAACCTCTCTACCAATGGTGTTTTTGACTCTCAAATAATTCAGTCCCCTTTTCTTACAGTGTTAAAATATTTATGATGACAGATTTTCAGCTACTTTCTTGAAGGTTTTATATAGCTGAACTTAGAGAGTAATTATTATTTTTAATTCTGAAAGTGAAATATAAATCACATTTTGAGGCATTTTTATAGGTTGGGGGGGCTTCAATCTTATTTATTCACATCAAGGTAGCCTCAGACTAAAAGAGTTTGGGAACCATTACTTTAGAAAAACTTTTTTTTTTCCAAATATTTTCATTTTTGATATTCTTGTGAAAAGAATACGAGAGATTATTTTATGAAAATTATTTTATTAATAATTTTAATACCACATTAAATGTTTCACAGTTTAACATACAGAGGGATTTTACAACATATATAAAGCTATAAGGTCAAAAAACGCTAGAAGTTTTTCATTGTTAGTAGGTCTTTTTTGGAAACGATTTACTGTAGAAATCGAAAAGTATCTTGGATGATATGAAACTGGTATTTTATGCTTTTATTTATTTCTTTTAAATTAACAGTAATAAATAGTGTTTTTAAAAATATTTGTAGTCATTTATATATGTACTTTCCCTTTTATCTGAATGGTATTTTAGCTGAGATAGCGAGTACATGTCTTTGTTTATTTAGGAAACTCCCCCTGTTTAACAAGTTCTCTAAACTATAATCAGTGGAGTACGTACATGGAAAACACTTGACTAATGAATATGTAGTGTTGTAAATTGTAATATGAGTGTTTGTTTTGAATAATTATGTTGCTACCTCCAAATGATACTGATGTCATATATTTAGCCCAGATTAAACACACTGAAATATTAACAGGAAAACGCAAACATAAAACAATTCTTCATAACTTTTTAATCTTAGTGAAAGTATAAATCTCTTAAAAATGATATGCAAGTTTTTGTTAATGTATTTCAACAATCCAGTTTAATTGACCAGATTGTTCATGATTGTGGTGTTTCTTTGCAGATACACATTCTCTCTTTTTAAACAATTATGATTTTGTATGTGATTGATTAATTATCCATACGTATTTTCCAGTGGTCAGTTTATTAATTGTTGATAAAAAGGTGAATCATATTATTTCAAATATTGCCTTCAGTAAACAAGAGTTTCCAATTCAGTGGGTGTCCTTTCTATATTTATTAAAAATGTAGAAATATAGAAATAAAGGTTAAAAACAAAGCCAAGATGACATTCCATTTTTCCAAATTTAAGCTGCAAGGTTTGAATAATTTGACACACATTCAACATTAAAGTGTATTTCTTGAAAGAAAAAAACATATAACCAAAGTGATATGACTTTGCTACCAGATAAAATACACTTTCTTCTGATAGCACCTTGTACATTAGAAATACCAGACCCATAAGTTAAAGACTAAAAGACATGGGGATACCATAATTATTACTGCTGTGCATTGCAATGCTTTTTTTAACTAAACATAACACTCGGAATGACCACCTTATAAATTTGGACTAACACTAAATTTTTGGTATAGCTCAGCTCTTTAAAAGAAAACTAATCCTTTATTTTAGTGAAACTATACCAAAATTTTTATAATCAATGTCAACGTCATCGGAAATTTACTGTGTTTAAATACATTCATTTCAAATAGATGCTTATCAAATATTATAATGCAAAGGTCTTTGTTTTTTGTTTGTTTTTTTGTAAAAGACAAACTGGCATAACCAAATTTGTCATATATAGGAGCTCATAACTATTGTATTTAAGATTGTATCATCAAAGAAAATTTATATCTTGAATTTTTCAATGTTATGCATGATGTTGCATGGGTGTACATGCATGTGCTTAGCTATGATCCTGGGATTATAGATATGATGAAACATCACAGTAGCATTTTCAGTGACTTTAGTCACCTCATTCTCACATGTAACTGAACCAGAGAAAGAATGTATAATGTTATTTAAAATCACATTTTAGTAGTATAGCTTTGTTTACAGCCCCTCGTTTGAGAATCACTGCAATAGAGAGTACTAGTTAGTACGTTGTTATGCACCTTTCTACCGAGAATTGTTATTGACTAAATTTATCAGTGCTATTTCATTAACTATTCATAATCTTTTCCATAAAATGTTATGTAGGTAAAAGTGACAGTCTTTTGATTGCTCTCTCTAAAGTTCATTGAAAAAAATAATTCTAGTGATTTTATGTATCCCTATAGCTGACCTTTCGAAACAGAATGTGCATTGTGTAATTTTCAGATTAAGCCAGCTACAGTTTTTATGTAATTGATCATTGTGTAATGAAATGAGTTTTTCATATGACTATATATATATTTGCAGATATATATATGTTGATATCTTTCTTTCAGCCCATCCAGGCCACCTTATTCAAAAATTAACTGGAGTATGTCATGTATGAATAAGCAGGAAAGGAATTCAATTACTAGTACTTACAGTAGAATTGCTAACATTGCTGATGGGTGGCACAATTCTATAAACAAAGACTCCAGTAGCAACAAAAGCAGGTCTGATGTAAAAGGCTGGATCAGTCGCCAGTGGATGGCACCATTGTCTTCACCATCTTGCACCTCTACACATCTTAACACCGGTCTTTCTTCTTTAACCAGTAACAAAGAAGAACTCGCATATGAACCTCTCTCTTGACACTGATCTGGAACATATTAAACTACAGCAATGATTTGCTGATAACCAGAACTCATCAAGACTCCAGGCTGAACAGTATTTTTAATTACACTCACTAGAGTCACAAGCTACTAGACATTAGTTGTACCACTTGCAGTGTAAAAATCATCACACTGCCAACAGAAAAGGCAGAATATAAGTATATGCTATAATGAACTAAGTGAACTTTGGCTTTGAAACCCTGATAATTCAGTTGATAGAGTACTGGTCTCAGGTCAGTTAGTATCAGTTGAGCATCCTGAGTCAAAGCCCCAGTTGAGAAAGATTGCTTTTTCACCAGTTGTAATTATCAGAAAAAGATTAAGTGTAATCTGTTCTGACTTTGGTTTATCTTACTGCTAAGATAAACTCCAAAAATACTCATTCAATATCATCCGTACACTTGATTATTCAACATTCATGACACAAATATGAATAGTGTTGGTTTAGATTGTAATGAATTCCCAACTATATGTACCTAAACTTAAACTGAAAATAGAGTACAATTAATGAAAAGTGTTCTAAAATGTCAATAACAGAACTGTGGAGTCTTATAAGTATATAATAATTTTATCATATCTGCCGTTTTACACCAAACAACAGTGAAGAGCTATCAGGAAGAAACAAAATTCAAAATTCTGTAAAGAAAAAAAACATGAGAAACCTTGCAGAAGTATAATTGTATATAAGCTTGTAGTAGGTATACTACATTTTAATGCACTAAAACAAAGGCTTTGAAAGTTTAGTGGTATGTGAATAGAGGGATATTCCAACAGCTTTTATGATAAATGTTACATGTTAAAAAAAGCCGACAAGGTTCAAACTGGAACTCTCGCAATTAAGATGAAAAACGTCAAATTTGGATGATACGAACTAATTGGAATTGAAAGCTCAGACAAAAGTTTGTATGTTTTCTTTTTTAATGTATGTATACATTAACATGCTTCAAACGAAACGGACATTTACAAGTCCTAGCTTTTTTGCTGCTCATGGAATATTCGATTATGAGATGTAGACACCTTATGGCTCTTTTTTCAAATGTCATCAGAAGGCAGAATTGATTGATATAATCTATATTTCTCTATATGTTGAAATATAAAATACACATTACACTGCTGTCTGTCAGATCTTTCTTCACATTTCATAATTTTGGAAAATTTACTTACATTTTTACTGTGTTGAAGTATTAAATGGTTTTTCAAGGTTACAGTTTGTTGTCATCTCTTGTTATAGAAAATCTATAAAGTGCATTATAACTTTTATGGTAATGATCAAATAAAATGTAAAAATATGTTTTATGTTGTAAAATGGCAAAGCAAATAACATTATAAATTGTAAAAAAAAACTAAATTTGTTTTTTTACAGATTTATATATCATTAAGTTGAACATTCCAAAACCATAATCATATGAAGGAAAAGATAACATAATATTATTTTCAGTAAGGTAAATCTTAACTTAGCATACAGTGCACATATATTTAAAAAATATACTAGCTATTCCTTTTCAGACTACACCTTTTTTTTTGCCTATTCATTTTGAGGAAAAATAAAAAACAACATATATTTGAATATATAAAAGTAGAATAACAAGAACAAATAATTCTGTTGTAGTTATAGATATAGAAAAAACTAAGTTCGTTTAGAAGTAATAATGATATACACAGAAATATGTTGAGAGTACAACACTAACACTTAATTAGCCAAAGTATATCAAAGAAAGATTTTTTTATCAATCATTGCATAAATATACATCTAATCTATTTCAATATATTAATTAAATTGGTGTAACAAAGTATCACTTACACACAATTGTATGAATAGTCTGAAAGCACTAACATTTAAATAAGTATTCTCACACAGATATCAAATTGGCATCAAATGTTTTGGGGTCCTTAAAGTTTTTAAACGTTATTTTTAAATCCATCATTCATTAAAAACAAAAACAGTAGTAAACAAATTTCTTATGTGAATGTGCTTTATAGTCACTACAAGAAAAACCTACACACTGGATACTTGAAATGAAGAAAAAGTGTCATTGGCCATTATTCAGTTCTTGACATTATATTGCTACACAATAGCAGGTATAATAAATAAACTTAGTATTCTGAGGAGGATAAAGAATATTCAACATTTTCTTGTAGAATAGCAAAGCAGAGTATTACTGTCTTAGATATATTGAAGAATGATTATCATCATGAAATTCAATACATTTTATTGTCACTACTATAACCTTGAAAGGTGAGTGAATGTATCCAGCAAAAGAAAAAATGCATTATAATTATTATAAGTAAAAATGTAAGAACAATATATTTAATTAGCTATGCTCATTACCTGGTTGATTTTTAGTTCTAATCTCTGTATATAGCTCGCCTTGATCAGAAGTCAGTTATAAGTGGGAGAAATGTAAACTTCTACCTTTCTTTGAACAAGTAAGAAACATGCCACTTTTACTCTTTAGATATGTTTTAGGGTTATATGATAACATTATGTTAAGAATATCTAATACATAGTGCTTGTGGATTTATTTCTTTATTATTGATGTTTATCAAAAAATGTTTCTTAATTATCAAAATATACAAAAACATATGCTAAATGTAAAACTGTAACTTTAGGAATGTGTGTGTTTATCTATAACTTAATACTAAGGAATTTGTTTTTATTTTTCTAAGTATTCACAGTCATGATTTGTTGGGATTTACTATCTTGCTTGGTTATTTAACAAAAGTATTATTAAAGTTTTTGTGTACTTTATGAATATCGTGTCACTGGTGTTTTCCTATAAAATAATAATACAAGTAATATACAAGACAGGGCCTTTTAAAACTAGCCAGTGCTTATAAACATTGAGACTATTAGACATAACTTATACCCAAACGGTGATGGAGGAAGTATTAAAAAATTGGGCTGACTGATGGTAAAGATTGTAAAGTAATGGAGAATATATACTGGACCAATTGACTGAAAGGCATTTGAAAAATAACACCACACTTATGGAGCATTCAAATGTATCTCCACTCATAATGGTTTGAAAGTCATTGTAGTTTATAACCAACACATTAATTTGAAGGATGCTCAAAATAATTGTTGGATCCCAGTTTTGACGGGAGTCTCTTCAACGGAACATTTTAACTCTTGGTTAGGCAAGGCATTCCAAAATAACTTGTCACCATCTGCATGCATTACAATGCTCGCTAAGGTATATTTTCACCATACAAGGATCGTTGAAAAACTGCTTTCCATCTCAGTAACTTCATCATGAAAGCCCACCTCAGTGACTCAACAATAAGTCTAGGGGTTCACATCACTTAAAATTGGGTTTTGATATGCGTAATGGAAACAGTATAGATAGTCCATTGTATAGCTTTGTGCTTAATAAACAAACAAACGATTGTGAAAGTGTAACTATACATGTATTGTCAGAAAGCTAATATCACTAAAGACCATTACTAGTGTTAAGACTACAGAAGAATATATCTTTAGTCAGGTATATTTACAAAATGTTTACATTTTTGTGCAGGTGTTCTGTACCAAATGTACCAGTCCTATTTGATTTAGGTTGCATACACCAATGGCTTGAGAATCATCTCTCTTTGACCCTGTGTCTGTCCCTTCTGGATAGGAGCAAGCCCATTACAAGGGTTGGCATAGATATAGATACTTGTGCAAATGGGTATGAATTGGGGGTGGTGGTGAAGTATGCAACATTTTTGGTCGTAACTTGGTGTGCTTAATCTGAATTCCCTTTGTCATCGTCCACTATACAGGATAAAGACAGAATGGAATCCTTTCACATCCTCATACGCATGTAGAATGTCTCTCACCTCATCCGACTCTGTGAGTCAAAGGAAAGCTTTAAATCAGTAAAACTTGCATAAACATGACTACTGTGAATAAAAATTTTGTTTATTTGTTCAGTTATGTCTCCCCCCCCCCTCACTGTCTAAATTTGACTTATTCTCGCAGAACATTTTATGAATCTGTTTTTTGTGGATACTTTTAAACTTATCTGCTGGATATTGGTGAACTTCAATAGCACAGACTAGTTAAAAAGTAACATTTTAGTGCCAAACTAAAGTATTTATTGTTATGGGGTTTATTTTGAACTTGCTTCATTTTTTCCAGATTGACTTTTTGATACCTGTTAACATTCAATAATCATTATCGTGGAAGAGCACTTTCTAAAACTATGTAGAACTTGTAGCATACAGGAAGAAGTCACAGCTGAAGTGAGGATTAGATCAAAAATATGACAAGAACTAGGAAAAGCACTCTCTTGGATCTAGAGCTTTAAAAAGGAAATGATGAGAGTGATGGTTGAGTTATCAGTCTGTCCTCAGGTTTATGAGGTTGGTGGGGATCTCTCTGGATTTTCCTTGGTGCCTATGTCACAACAGTCTTCAGTGATCACTTCCCATAAATTGGAGATAGGACAATAGAGAAGGGTCATAGTGGATTTGGCACCTTGAATGTACCAAGATATACTTGGGTGACCTCTATGGGACACCAAGGTGCTGGTTAAGAAGATCATCACCTTGACTGGAGAGAATTGCAAGATGCTTGAGCTAGACATAGATTAGCACACTTCACAACACCATAAGGCACGGCAAGTGACATGCCATTATCATCATACAGACCTTGATGTTAATCAGGAACTTTCCAAACTTACAAAGCATATTGCCAGTGCCTTCAGACCATGTCTGACAGCCAAGGACATTAGATGTAATGATAAAGTGTTGCATGATATGTCGTTTCATTATGATTGCAGCAGTGATATGTGCTACTGCACATTGAGTCATGCCACTGTGATTTTAGTCCTATGACACCACATTCGCGAAGATGCATGCATATCTGAACCGCCAGAAAAATGTAAAGGTCTCACCAGATGCACATACTTCTCAGCTGCACAGCAGTTAAATATCTGATAGCAGGTGCCTGTCTGCACTATTTAATTATGGTGGATATGTGAAAACAGTAAATCTGCTTGCGTTTGAGAGGATGGCAAAAGAAGTAGTTAGGACAGTCATTGACTGAAAGGATTTGATGTTCCTTATTTTAAGAGTTGTCATGTGGTGTTTCATATTAAATGCATTATATTTTGTGGTAGCCACTTGATGATTTTATAACTAGAACAGTTGGTTGGTTGAGAAATTTAAAAACTGAAAGAGCAATCAACCTTTAGTTTTCAAGCTTTCGATCAATATTTGGTAGCAAGACATTGCTCTGACGTTTTACAAATATTATTAGATCTATCTATTAAGTTGTAGTGGAATTTCGGCACAGCAGACCACGAGAAGCTTGCTAGGTAAAAATATAGGACAGCTAAAATTTTTGCATAAAAACTATAGGAAAAGTTACAGTTGAATTGAACTCTTAATGATAACTGGGAATTCTGACAAATAAGTTCAACGTACTTTGAAGTCCCTGTTTTTTCAGCGATTCAAGTTAACTAGCAAATTTGCTTGTAAATGTTTCCTGGGCGAATTTGGCACTGTGTCTGGCAATTGGCGCGACTTTGGGCTTTTTATAGGTTGAGATGACTTGTAGTTTTCAAGTATAACTTTAATGAAGCCAATAATCTTTTGAACTGCTTGATGTATTGCACTCGTGAAAAGGCTACGATAAAATGCATAACAAAACTAGAACATTTCTGCCTATTGAACTGCAGGTCACCAAGACAAAGCATCTTTGTGGGTGACACGCTGTTAAATGTACTTACCTTACCAACTGCAGATGGCTTGATGCATTTATCTTGGTCAGCATGTGATGACAAAGTTTTTAAACGTGAACAATCAGGAGCAAAGTCTGGGATGAACATCCTTCTTTACAGTCTTCTTGTTAATGTGAAGTGAATGTTAATTGTGTAGTGCCTTTATTGGTTAGCATGGTACTGTGATAGAGTCCCTTCCTGTGTATTTGATTCTCCATGTGAGAAGGTGAATCTGGAAGTGCATTGTTCGATGTCATCATTAATTCAGCGTAGTTTGATGAGAGAGTTAGCCTAGAGGTTACTGGTGTTAAAACTGTTGTCTATGTTCAGTGTAGATTGGGTTAATTTGATGCAAATGAAATCTATAATTTTCCTGATATTTCAAATGTGCTTTTTAGTTTTTTGTATTTGTTCTATGATTCAGCCTGCTTCCACTATTTTTATTTTTACATACGAACAAGGTATTTCGTTTATTGTTATTGTTGTTTTAATTTGATATGTTGTTTCACTTTAATTAGGATGTATTTTTTCAGATGTCAAATAAACTTACGTTGAATTTGTTACATAATCTGAGTTTCTAACTTAATTTAAGGATAAATGATAAAGTAATTTTGGTTTTGTTGTTGGGTCTGTGGACTTTTGTTTATTTTATAGGCTGAAACGAAGTTGGTAGTTCTTCAACTTGGTCTCCACTGCATTTTTTTCTGGTTTTGTGAATGGTTGGATTTGTAATGCAAATACTTGGTTGTATTTATACTGTAGTACTGAGGTGATCGTATTGTCTCTGAATGAGAATGTCCAGAAATGACATTTTTTTGTTTTCTTCTATTTCCAAGGTTTATTGTATGTCCAAGTTAACTGAACTTAGATGTTGGAGTTGATTGCCCATGTGGCCAAATTACAAAGATGTCTACATAGCATTTCCCTTATCTTGAATATTAGGGTTCTTGTCTGTAGGACTGTAGTTTCAAATTCTTCCATGTAAATGTCACTGAGGAATAATGAGAGTGCTGATCTCATTAGTATATTTGTTCAAATAATCCATTTTGGAAGTGAAAGTAGGTGTACTTCGTGAAGTATTTAAAAAAAATTCATTATGATATTTACGTTGATATTTCTTTGGTGATGAAGATAGATATCTGCTACTTTTTTTTTGACTTTAGAAAAGACTAGATTCATAAGTATGCTGGGAACATACTGTTTCCAAAGCTAATCAGAAAGTCAGATGGATTAATTGTGAAAGTTCTAGCTAGTTTTACAAAGTATTTTGTGTTTTCGACTGTTTGAAAAATTAACATACAGTAAGTTGAGCATTTTAGCTCGTGTTGTTTGGGGGTAAAGTTAATTTATGACACTTACTACTGAGCTGACTGGAACATCTGCATTGCATATTTTGAAGATTTACCTCTATTGTTAGCTTATGTTTGGTAGTTGACAAATTTTAATATTTTGATAATTTTGTTGATTTCTCACTGTTTCGTTTGTAGGGTCCTGTCTTCATTATAGTTTATAGTTTCTCCATAATCTGCCTTGCGCATTACTACTATGCAGTTTCCTTTGTCTGCTGGTAAAATATATATTGAATGATCTTTCCTCAGATTTTGAATGATCGTTTATTCTTATTTTGAAAGATTTCATGTTGTCTGAGGGATGATCAAGTCAGGAATCTGAGTTCATTACCTTCTGTTGTTGAGAGTTGTCGAGCTACTTTTCTATGGAAGCTATGATGTTTATGATCGGGATGTTAAAAGGGATTGGATGGAAATTAAGTACAAGAGATTTCTTCAATGTGGGTTAAAGAATCGGGAAATCAGGTTTTTTGATAAGTTGTGATTCATTGTTTCTAGTTCAGTTTTGCAAGATAAGCTTTTCCAGTTTCTTAATATGCTTCGTCTTAAACTTTCGTTGTATGTGTTTGAAGGTTTGGTTTTTAGAATCAAACTTTTTTTGTATTTTATTTTTTTGGTTTTCTTGGTTTATGTTGAGCTTTTTTTTTAAGTTTGTTAAAACC